CTCTTTCCGAGCTCTCTATCACACACAGTCTCGCTGGCTCTTCATTATAGCAGCCCTGTGTGGAGACAGGCAGATTTGGCCCCGCTGTCTGTGTGCTGGTGTAATAGCTTTCTCATCAGTGGGTCAGGAGACCCGACACACACAATTTCAAGGGGATCAGTCCATGGTAAACCAGCTCTGTGGCAGGAGTGTCATGGCGGAAGGGCACGGTGAAGAGCTGCTTAGTTCACGGTGACTTGGAAGCAGAGGCAGGGAACAGTGCCAGAGTGAAGGGGGTGACGGGCAGATACAGTTCCCAGGGGACCTAGACACACCCAGAGTGTGCTTTAATCTTTAATCCCTGAGTGGTTCACAAGCCAATCAAGCTGACCCTAACCGTGGCAGAAGAGGACACTGAGCCCTAGAGACACAACAGGCCAGCCCACAGCCACACAGCTGCAGCCGGGGACTGAGCACAACCTCGTGACAGATGCTCTTTCCTCTCCCAGCAGCGGGATCAGCCCTCTCTCCACTCATCGAGGAGCCCCCTCTGGTCAGCCTGCTTCCTATTTGGGCTCTCTCCTCACTTGTCACCTGTGCTTCTGCCTCTCCTCCTCATGCCTGGCCTCTCTGGGGTCCAGCAGGGAAATATTCTGGATTCCCGAAGGGGCTGTTGTCACCTTCTCCCTGCACATGTCCTCTTTCTTCTCCAGCCTGTGGAGCTGGTGACATTTTGAGAGAGCCTATGAATGGCGAGCCAGCCAAGGCCCTCCGATTCTTGACTAAAGAGCCAGAGGGGTGTAAGCTCCTGTGTGCCCCAGAGGGGTTGGAGCCATTTTACAGGCTTCAAACACATGAAATTGAGGTGGAGCTGAGGTCTGCTGTGGCAGGCAGTGTTGTCCCCCAGGAGTGAGCATAAGGACTCCTTGCCTGTGGCTTGGATCCCTTCTGACACTGTGTCAACATCCATGCCATTCCCGTCTTCAGCCTGTTAGTCATGTGGCTGGAGCAAGGACCACCAGATGGGGACCATCCTCTCCCTGTCTCAGGGGCCACACCCTACAGGAGCTGTGTCCAGGCTTCATCCTGCTCACCTGCAGCCCTGCTCAGTGATGGTGCCTGATCATACCCCCTTGGCTCCTTCCAGGGAGAGTTGGCCACAGGAAACAGTAACGTTTTCAAAACCATTGCCTTGTTTCCTGCACCTTCTGTAACAAAGTACCAGAAGCCGGGCAGCTTCAAACAGAAATCCTCTCTCACAGGACAAACAGAAATCTGTCACAGGACAGGAGGCCAGAACCGGAAGTCAAGGCAGGACCATGCTCTTCCCCAAAACCCAGAGACTGTTTGATGCCTCTCTCTTGGCTTCTGTGTTGCTGGCAGTCCCAGGTGCTATCTGGCTTGCAGATGTGTCTGTCTGGTCGCTGCCTGTACTGGCCCAAGGCATTCTCTATGTCTGTGTCCCTTCTCTTATGAGGACGCTCACTGGACACAGAGCCCACTTAATCTACTGACTTCATCTTAACTTGATTACATCTGCAGAGACTTTATTTCCAACAAGGCCACATTCACAGCTACCAGGGGTTCAGAGGACTTCAATAGGCTTTTGGAAGGGCCTCAGTTCAACTCACAAGAGATCTTGTTTTGTCTCCCAATCCCATCAGTCTCTGCCCGCTCTTAGTCTACATGTTAGGTCTCTAAAGCGCAGGATACAGGCAGAGACGGTTTTTCTACCCCATCTTCTTCCAGTTCCCCCTTGCAGAGTGGGACAGATGCTGGCTTTAATGGTCAGGGGCAAGTCTTGTCCTGCAGAGGGTAGAGACATGGCTGGAAACGTTGCTTTTTCTGTTTTGAGGTTGGGCAGTGAGGAGACAGAGGGTACAGGAGTGTGCGGGAATGAAGGCAGAGATGACCCCATATTTCCTTCTTTGTGGATGGTGACATTGCCTTTACAGAGGTGAGGAGGAGGGCTCTGAAAGGGCCCAGGACTGCTCATTTCCACATGGGAGCTGTGGGGCCTGCCAGGAAGAGTATCTGCCTACTGCTAGAGTTCTGAGTCTGGCTCTTGGACCCACTGCTTTCAAACTTTGTGTTCTTCACCTAATTCACCCTCTCTGGGGCTCAGTTTTCTCATCTGTCAAGTGGGATAATAATAATTGCTTGTCAGACAGATTTTTTCACAGAGAGTAAATGATAAAGATGGATGTAAAGGCACATTTAAAAAGATCACGGTGGGGGGCTGGGGATCTAGCTCAGCGGCATAAGTGCCTGCCTTGCAAGCAGGCAGTCGTGAGTTCGATCCCTGGTACCGATAAAAACGAAAAAGACAAAAAAAAAAAAAAATCAAGGTGACAAAATAATATATACTTTAATATTTTAACCATTTACTTATTTAAGAGAAAAAGATACAGTAAAATCAAAAAACAAAAGAGACAAATAAACAATAACCAATCCAATGTAATAACAGTGTGCATTTACAAAGCAAGATGGCAGGAATTTGACAGTGGTTGTAATATTGCAGATTGTCACCTTCAAAAGGGTTGCTTAGAATGACAGAAATAGTCATGTAAAGTTGTTCTAATCATATGAATACTGACTGTTCCTTTCCTATGGCTAATACAATTAGTAGTGTAGTCATTTTAGCTATCTTATGCATATATATGCAAATTTATGTCTTTCCCTTTCCCTTCCTTCTTTCCTCCTTTCACCTGTCCCAGTTATTTTTTCCTTTTTGAGTAGTTTCTTACCCTTACACAGTATGTACTGTAGATTTTGGATCATATATAGTTTTTTAGTTTCTTACACCAGAGAGACAATATGGTATTTACACATGTGAGTTTGATTTATTTCACTTATGAGTATGGTCTCAAGTTACATCCATTTACTTACAGAAGTCTCAATGCAATCTTTTATTTATAGCTAAGTAATAATCCATTGTATAAAAATACCACATCTTTTTTTATCCATTCCTTGATTGATGGGCACTTGGGTTGTTTCTAAGATCTGGCTATTACAAATTGTGTTGCTATAAATATGGGTGCTCATATATCACTGTCTTATGATGTTTTCAGTTCTTCTGGGAAAATGCCCAGAAGTGGAATAGCTGGGTCAAATGGCATCTCCAATCCCAGATTTTTGAGGAGTCGCCACACTGATTTCCACAGTGGTTACACCAGTCTACACTCCCACCAACAATGCAGAAGGGTTCCTTTTTCCCCACAGCCCCTCCAGCATTTGTTATTGGTTGATTTCTTGATCTTGGCCATTCTTTCTGGGGTGAGATGGAATTTCAGTGTTGTTTTAATTTGCATTTCCCAAATGACCATTGATGTTGACCATTTTTTCATATATTTATTTGCTATTTTAACCATTTTAAAATGTATGGTGCAGTAGCATTTTTGGGTAACCTTTCTCCCCATGCTCCTTAAGAAGTTTTTCACCCTCTTAGACCAGGAAGGTGCACTTCGGTGATAAATCAAGAGTCCTTTTCATTCATTTGCTGAATTAGGCACTCAGTGCCTGCAAAGCAAGGGACTTGCCCTTGGTCCCCATTGAGAAGGCAGAGCTGAGTCACAAGCGCCTGTCTCTGTAGTCTTTGATCTCCCGTCGGCTGCAGGGGGCTGAGGCACACAGGAGGCCTCAGAGGGATCTGATGCCTGCAGTGGTGTCCTCCCTCCCAAATCCCTTCCCAGCACTGCGGGGCCTCCAGGAAAGCTGGAATTTGTCCAGAGGTTGACAGAGTCCTCCTGGTACCTTGGGCTGTGGGCCTGCATGGTGACAGGTCCTCTCCATACCAAAACGATCCCTGGTAAACCTAGGCTGTCTCATCACTTAGACCAGCTAAGTGTCTCGCCGCCTCTTGTCCCCTGTCTACATATGCCTTTCTCAGATGGGCACAGTTCCAGAGGAGAACCAGGGGAGCTGACTTTGGGGTAAATTTGAGGCTTGCTTTGTGAGGTCCTCTATTTGCCAGGAGCCTGGGTGACCCAGGTCCTCCCTGTGAATCCTGGCTGACACTGGTTTCTAAGGTCCTGCTCTGTGACCATTACTGGGAAAATGCCAGTGACAAGACCTTGTAATCAGTTCTCTAAGCTTTGCAAGACTCAGGATGTTATACAGAGGCCAGTTGGCTATGTGCAGTCACCTGTAGGAGGTGATGATTGCTGTTTGATGGCAGGTAGAGGAGCATCCTTCTGGCCCAGGCTAATGCCCCTGCCAGAGCCTTGGGGCAGGAGGGGGACAGAATGGAAGCCGGCATGAGTATTAGATGTGGATGTCTGGTGCTCCATGTAACATGTTCTGTCCTGCTCTGGGGCTGGGGACCAGAGGACAGACATAGCAGCTCCTGGCTGAATGGGGAGCACAGAGCCATGCACAGCTGCAGTGTCAGAGGAATGGGTGGTGGCTGGCTGCTGTCCCCAGGGAAGGATAGGGCTGGTGCTGCCAGAAGGGCTTGGGGAGGTGGTGGAAAGGCGGCAGGTGGCTTTGCTCTGATGTCATACCTAAGAGCCGGGCAGGAACACCTGCGAGATGCCTCTAGACTCTCCTCCTGCTCTCTGGGCTGGTTCCTTTGAGCCTCAGATAGATCCCATGAGGTGGATGGGGCGGGGATATTGGATCCATTTTTCAAGTGGGAAGAATGATGTGTCAAGAACTTGGGTAGAATCACCCAGCAGCGTGGCCAAGCATAAAGCAGAGCCCAGCTCTCCAGCCCAGGCCGGGCGCTCTGCTTGCCCAGCCTCAGTCTTTCCTGCAGACAGAGGCATTGAGAGCATGGTGTTGCTGTGCCTTCTTGGTTCTTGGGCCCTTTTTGTTTGTAACTGAGCTTTTCTGTCTTCAGCTTGCTCACAGCTCATGGCCCTCAGCCTTTGGCCCCCCACTGTCCCTTTTCTGTCTTTATGGCATCCTCAGCCCAGCCTGGGGTGCAGCAGGGAGGAGCTTCTCTGCCCCTGGCTGGGCTGGGGAGTGTGAAGGCTGCCACCCTGAACTCCTGTCTTCTGTCGGGTCTTCTGCTGACACAGGTCCCGGCTGGCGGACTTCCACACCAACTGTCGAGCCTCCTATCGCACGCTCACCAGCTGTCCTGCAGACAACTACCAGGCGTGTCTGGGCTCCTATGCGGGCATGATCGGTAAGTTCTTGCATCGTCTGCACTTGCCGTCACCTCTTGTTGTCCCAACATTGTAGGGCAGGTGTCAGGGACCATGCTGGAGGGAGTCAGGCTGAGCTCAGCTTTCTCTGTGGCAGACTCAGACAGAGCGGTTGATGGGGCTAACGGGGAGCCAGCTCTTTATGAAAGAGAGGATCAGGGAAGGCCCCAGAGGTCTTTTAAGAAATGGAGACATCTGTTGCATAGTTCTGACGTTCTGGGTCCTGTCTTACTGGGTTCTCCCTGCATGTCTTACTAGAAAGGTATAGATTTCCATTTAACAGATGGGGAGGCTGAGGTTAGAGTAATAGAATAGTTGCCCAGGTTCAGCCAGCTGGTAGACCCTGGCATTGAGACCTAACCCAGTATGGGCACTTTGTCTCCCTGACTCCAGAGCTAGGCCCGCTCTGCTTGTTGGTGAGGGCGCAAGGAAGGGTGTGGTCTGGGATGGACGGGTCTGCAGGGTCGTCCTTGTCCTGGTGATGAGGAGCCTGGTGTCCTCGAAGCCTTGGCCCTTTGTCCCAGCAGATCGAGGTCCCTGGGATAATAGTGCTTAATTAGGGTGGCGGGATGGGTTGTGTGGGTGTGTCGGGGGCAGGGGGACTCCCCTTCCTGTTATGCCTGACATCTGAGGGCTCAGAGGAAAGGCTCTCCTGCTCCTCTTTCTCCCCCCCCACCCTCTCTACCTGCCCAGGGTTTGATATGACCCCCAACTACGTGGACTCCAGCCCCACCAGTATCGTGGTGTCACCCTGGTGCAGCTGTCGCGGCAGTGGGAACATGGAAGAGGAGTGTGAGAAGTTCCTGAGGGACTTCACCGAGAACCCGTGCCTCCGTGAGTCTCTCCCCACCCCAGGTGCCCGGGGCACCCTGCTTCCCACTTCTACCTGAGAGGGGACCCTAGACTTGCCTTCCCTGACTATTTGCTGCTCCTTCCTTTGTGACGGTCACCCTGGATACTCTCTGTGAGGGGACCCTAGGTCTTCAGCTCCTGCAGATTCACAGTAGAGCTGTTAGTTGATCTGCCTCAGTTTACTAGCAGAGTTCTTGAGCTACGTCAAACCAAGGACAAAGTTTTTGATTTTGTTTTGAGGCAGGGTCTTACTATGTAGTTTTTGCTGGCCTTGAACTCACTATGTAATCCAGGATGGCCTCAAGTTCATAGTGAGCCTCCTGCATCAGCCTCCCAAGTGCTGGGGTTACAAGCATGAACCACCACACCTGGAAAGTTTCTGTTACTCTGACAGCTTCGGCCAGGCTCCTTTGGAGACTGAGCCCTCCCATAAGGCTCTCGGGCACCTGCCACCTTTCCTTTTAACAAGTATTTCTCCTGGAATCTGTAACTTTCTTTTAAATGACTCCTCATCCAAAATCTGGAGAGGGTTGAGCCATAGTCAAGCTCACTCTGCTGTGACCTGTGCAGTTGACACCCCTTGCTGGACACTCCCTCTGCAGGTCTCTTCCCTCTTTCTTTTCTTTTTCCCGTCTGTCTGTCCATCCATCTTCCTCCTTCATTTCTGTTTGGCACTGGGAATTTGGAGGTAGAGGTTCCAGGGCCTGACCCTGAGGACCATGCAGCCTGGTGGAGGTAAACTGAGGGTTGGCTGTGATCGCAGTACAGAGTGAGGGGTATGAGGGTCGAGTTCTGCATGGGGCTTTTCAGGGGCTCTGGCGGGGCCACCACACCAACCAGGAGGAGGATGGCCCCAAGAGTTCTCAAAGACTGTATTCCTTGAAGACAGTTGGGCATTAGTCAGTTGAAGAGGCAGGGGGGCTCCTGGTCTATCCTGGCAGGGTCCAGGCCTCTATACAAGATGATTTTGTTCAGGGAACTGCAAAGTACTTAGTCTTGCTACATAGCACTGAAGGTGACTGGGATGGTGGTTATCTAGACAGACAGAGCCTCTTCCTCTTGAAGACCTGAAGGCTTTGGATTTTTGGGTCCTTTAGATGGCAACGGATACAGGGTGACTGAAGGATGCCAGCAGATGATCTGCCAGATTGAAGTTGGGGATATGATTCTGATGGGTGGCCCAATAAAAGAGTCCCATAAGTAGGCTGTAGTTGATGCTCATGGGAAAGGATGGTGATGACTGTGAACATGTGGTGGGAGGGGAATGATGACAAGACGGAGTGCAGAGATCTTCAGGAGATGGTCTTATTCATTGCAGGTGGGTGGGTGGCTGGGGAGGCACCATGGAGTGGCCTGCTGCTGTTCCTCTGGATTTCTGTCTTGGGGGACCTGGATAGATAGAGATGACATCTTCGGGATCAGCAATGCAGAGGAGAAAGTTGTTGGCAATGGTGGGAAAAAATGCCCAGTGCAGGGTTAGACTGGCAGCCTTGAGTGCATTTGGGAGATGCAGGTGAAGACTCTTCTATAGGATCGAGTTTTAGGCCTGGAGCTTAGTGTGAGCAGCCCCCAGTGCCAGATGACAGCATGGAGGTGCAGACACTGCCCCAGGGAAGCTGATGGGAGGAGGGCTGCTCTGGAGCCCTTGAGATGCCAGCAGTAGGGACCTGGAAGCACTCAACACGGCAAGTGAGTGTGACAGCCTGTGCTCGGGTAGCGGGGGCACAGGGCGAAGCTTTCCCAGGAGAGATTGTGGCACACTGGGCCCTGTCACTCTTGGCACAGGCTCTTCTCCCTCCAGGATTAGACTTTACTCTTCACACTTCCTTCCTTTCTCCCTTTCCTTTCCTGCAATCCTCATCATGTGCATTTATTCCATTCTGATTTGTGCCTTTTCCTGTCTGGTCTCTTGTCATTTTCCCCTCTAGATGTGAACTTTTGCAGGTCTGGAAAAGAGTCCCTGCAACGTTAAATTAGGTGTGTTATCGTCTGTCCCCAGCTTCTAGGTTGTTCCAGGGAAGAGCTGTGGGGAAGAGGAGCTGGGACAGCAGGGAGGGAAGCAGGTCCTGATTTCTCCATGTGTCTGTTCCTCCATTCACCAGGAAACGCCATCCAGGCCTTTGGCAATGGCACAGATGTGAACGTGTCCCCCAAGAGCCCCTCATTCCAGGCCACCCAGGCCCCTCGGGTGGATAAGACTCCTTCTTTGCCAGATGACCTCAGTGACAGCACCAGCCTGGGGACCAGCGTCATCACCACTTGCACATCTGTCCAGGTGAGGGTTCTGCAGCCATGGGAGTCGAGTGGGCTGAGGGCTTGGGGAAGCATTGTGGTGTTAGGAGCCATATGAGATCTGTACAGTGGACCAGGGAGAACACTGAGAGTCCTCTGTTAGGTCAGAGACCCAAGAGGCAGAGGGGAGCTGGTGAGGTTGTTCTTTGTCCATTTAGTCATTTAAGAATTCATCTTGCAAGTATGAAACACCTGTTACAGGTATTGTACTCGACACCACACCACAGGAGTACAGGAGTGGTATAATAGTTCCCCTTTACCAGGTGTCTGCTAATTGCCAGGGAGTGTGCTGACCAGTTCTCTTCCTGTCTTACTGGAGTCCTACACAATGAAATATTGACATTTGTGTTTTTAGAGAGGTTAGACCACGTATCTAAGATCACATAGCTGATTGGTGGTGGAACACCATTTCAAGTCTGCATTGGACTCCAAAGCCTCTGATATCCCTTTGTTTGTCCTTCCTTCCTTCCTTCCTTCCTTCCTTCCTTTGTTCCTTCCTTCCTTTCATCTATTTACCCACCCACCCACCCACCTGTCATGCTCCACAGGTCACATGCACGGTGTTATGTGAGATTCTGGGGATATCTTGGCGGATGAGGACAGCGCAGTTTGTGGGTTGTGGTTCTGTGATCTCCTTGAGGGTTAGACAGTGAAATAATCATCCGTCAGTACCATGACAGGGGACATGTGGCACTGTGGAGGTGTGGCCTGGGCTCCTGCTCAGCCTTTCATTCCACTGAGCTGCCCTCCTACCACCGTACCATGCGCTATCGTGGGTTTTCTGCTGAAGTGATTGGTTAGGCAGGCCATACACATATGCACACTCATGCACACACACATGCCTGGAACACAGAATTTAGGGCCGCATATGTAGGAAAGCAGAGGAAGGAGGGAGTGAAGCCGTGGGAGGTGGGCACAAGGGGCTGTTTTGGGCTGAGCAGGTTGGTGGAGTCTCAAGGGCATCAGCAGTGGCCTAGCCTATGTGGAGTTGCAGAGGACAAGACCTGGTTGATGTGAGAGAGCGACACCCCAGTCTCAATGGGAGGTGAGCTCCTAAGACCAACAGTATCTGTACATGCTGCCAGTGTGGACTTGAATGGGGCCCTCCCAGGCACCTGTCACAGTACAGTGTGTGTGCCTACCTGGTTGGGGAAGCTGGCTTCCTGATGCCCCTTACCCAACCTAGTGGGGTTCCCTGCTTGGTGACATCCGGCCTCCGAGGGCCTCAGGTCTAGCTCAGCATGGAGCCCACGTGGCCTGCTCCCTCCAAGAGGCCACCCTTCTTGATTTGAGTTGAGGTGTCTGGGTCACCCTTGGGGGTTGCCTAGTTATGCTTGACATGCTTCAGTGGCTGCTATTGGGAGCCCACATGCAGGTCAAATGTATGTTAAAATAGCTAGGGATTTGGTGATCTGGACTGTCATTTGTCAGATGACCATGGTCTGCCAATCCATCTTGGCCCTAATAGGCTCCCACAGGACAACCTTACTCCAGAGCCCCTTGGGGCCAGTGCACCTGAGGAAATGCTGACTCTGTTGGAGGACCCCCAACCTTGCTCACATTCTTGCTGGGGTTCCATGTGGCCCCAGAGAAGTTCAAAGCCCCTACCCCAACCTTTTCAATGTTTGTTGACTACAAGTCCTGTTTTTTTTTTTTTTATGTCTCTAGCAAGTTGCTAAAGCAATATCACTTGGTGTCCTCCTCACAGCCCAGCTGTATGGGACTTTTCTATCATTGCTGGGACAAAAATACGACACCCAAAATGAAGGAAGGAAAGGTTTTTTAGCTCATAGTATTTTAGAGGTTTCAGTCCATACTCGGCTGGCTCCAAGCAGGGTGGTGCAGCTAAGGGGCAACTGTCCTGATGGCTGCAAGTGACAAGAGTGAAAAGGGCAAAAGGAAAAGTGCCTCCTTCCCTCCCTTATATTGTATGCCGTCTACCCACCCCTAGGCAAATGCAGCACTCACACCACCAATCCCAGCGTGAGCCAATGAACCAATCACAAGTGCTAGACTCAGCCACCTCCATGATTGCATGAGGCTTAGATAGGGGGATATCCAAACAGAAGCCATAACATCGGCTTTCTGCAGGCTCTGGTCTTGGGCCTTGTCTTAGACTTGGTTTGATCCCTGGAGAGACGGTGGATAAATGCCCTGTGTGGGAGATGATGTTATGGAAATTCTTCATAAACTGAAGGACACTGCCTAAATGTTAGGTGTTATAGTGTCTGTGGAATGGGGAGGCTGCCTGGACAAATCCCTCTGGCCAAGGTCCATGGGGTGGGGGTGGACAGCCAAAGAAGAAAGAAAGAGGATCAGACTCTCAAAAGAGACCCCGGCCACCATTACTTCCCTGTGCCTTCTCAGAAGTGCCAGGGAAAGGGCCTGGATTCTGTTTTAATGGCAGTCTTTTAATGAGCACCTGTGCTCCCATGGCAGGTGGTTCACCCCAGCCTGCACCCCCTCTTCTGTCTATCCGCTCTGCTAGCTTGGAATGTCTCTGATTGGTAGCCCTGATGGAGCCCTTGGGAGCTACGGGAACCCTTGGCTATAGGAAAGGTTCTTAAAGCAGTGACAGGGAGCTGTGGCCTGGGTTGAAGGGAACCATGTACCCCAGATATGGCTGGGAGAGTGGCAAGATTGTTTTTTGTACCTCTGCTTCCTCTTTCCTTGGTTCCCTTAGAGAGGACAGCCAGGGGGGACTCCTCTAAGGTTAGGACTGGAAGGATTCATCAAGATTCCCATCCTAAACCCATGGAAGAGGTGGCCCAGCATGGCCAGTAGCTTGCCCATGGTTCTACAGCTGGGTGAAAGCTGGGCAGGTCCTGGAAGTGGGCCCTTGGCTACCTTGTGCTGTCTTCTCAAATCTGTCCCCCTCAAAGGACTTTACTGTGATGGGTGGATGTGGGATGGAAGAGCTCTCATCCCCACTGGGGCTTTCTGGGCAGGGATGTTGGCATGGGCATCTGAGGCACTGTGGAAGAGCTACTGTGGCCCTGAGCTGGCCCTTTGACTGGCATCTGATGCAGTCTTGGATCCAGCTGTCGGGATTGCTCCTCTTGGCTGTATCTCTGTCTGGGGTCTCTGGGACTTAGAGAGGGCTGGTAGGGTCTGGGGTGTTCTCCTGGGCTTCTGTGCAGCTTGCTCATGTTTGTATCTGGTGTCAACACTCACTCTTTCCTGTGTTGCACTGGCCTCAGGAGTGGCGGATCTGGGAGGCTGGGGATGCAGTGCCCATCTTGGACACTCACCAAAAGCTTTTGCTTCTGGAGCCTGGGGAGGGGAGGCACCCCCCAAAAATGGCCCTGCAGGGTGTGGGCAAGACACTGGCCTGGGCACAGACTGGCTGCTTTGAGCCACAGGCTTCTGCTTCTCCTCTCTGCCCCTCTGCCCAGTGAGTCCTCCTCACATTTCCCCCCTGGGGTTGTCTTTCTTAATTCTGTCCATGCCAAACTGCGGTCTGCCTGCTTTGGGCTCCTACTTTGTCCCATCATCATCTGGGCTCTCTTGCCGCCCTGGAAGCCTGGGTGGAATGTCCCCCTTCTGCATCACCTCGCAGAGTCAAGTACACAGGCCTGGCACAGAGCAGGTGCACTGTGGGGGTTAGAGGAGAACTGTGGTTCCCGGCTTGTGTGGTTTGTTGGAACTTGGTGCTGTCTCCTCAGGCAGCGCTGGGTGTCTTCTTAGCAGCTGTGTCCAGTTCTGGGCCCCTCCTGGATGCCCTGGGGATGCAGAGGATGGGGAAAGGGCAGCGTGAAGATGGTTTTGGTTTGAAGATGTGGGAATATTGGTCAGGAGGCTTTTGGTCTGGCAGTGACACCCGGATCACGGCCTACGGTGGGGATGAAGGAAGGCCAGTGATGATCAGGGATTTGCCTGCCCATGGCCCGTTCCCCATTCCTGACACCCGCTTGGGTTGCTCTGGGCTCAGAACACCAGTCTGCAGGGTCCCCCCAGATCAGTGGGATGCTCACCTTTCCTCGGGCTGAAGAGTACTAGTGACCCTCATCTTTGTCTCCGCCAGCCACTTTCACCTCTTCTGCTCACTACCAGTCGCATCTCGGGACTAGAGACGAGTTTGGAGGGGTTACCAAACGGTCTTTTACTTCATGCCTGAAGCAACTTTAGCAGCCAGCAGCCACCTCTGTCTCCTTCCTCATCTTCTCTGCTGTGGGGGTGGGGGCTGTGCTCAGCACACAGGCCAGAGTGTGACATCAGGTGGCCCAGTCAGTGCCTGTGTTCATTAATTGGTGTAGTCTTACTGCATGTCGCCTGTCTTGAGTACTGTGGCTGACAAGCTTAGTGACCAGGGTATGGGTACCCTGGTCCTAACACCGCTAGGGAAGACAGGAGGCTTTGAAGGGAGAAGACTGTCACACCAAGAGGACTGCTGAGATGAGGTCCTGGGAGGGAAGGACGCTTTTTCAGCTGACAGTGGTGGAAACCAAAGACTCAGAACAAGGGCAACCTTCTTCCAAGCCTGAAGGGATTGGGTCGGTCGACTGGAGAATGGAGTTGGGTTGGAGTGTGTGAGGGCCTCCCAGGCAGAGGGCAGGTGGTAGTGATGCCTGGAGTCTGCACAGCATATGGAGAGTGTGTTCTGCGGGGGCTCCCTGCCTGTTCATAGCGTGAGCATCACCGGAGCACAGCCATGGCTTTTGTTGGCGGATCTTCTGTGCTGCAGGGAGAGCAGGGTATGGTACTTGTGGCAGAGACTGTATGTCCTGAAATAGTGGCCTCTGGAGTTTTATAGAAGACCAGGAGGCAATGCAGACTATTGGTTTGGGAGGGACACACAGAGCTTGTATGGGAAAGCGGTGGGGTGCACATGTGATGTGTGGGCTGGAGTGCTGAGCAGCGAGACGCAGGAGGTGCGGGACAAGGGGGCGTTTGGACTGGTGAGAGCTGTGGCTGCCAAGGGTTAACTGGACAGAGGTGGAGATTTGTTGGTAGGGGAGAGAGATTGGAGTCAGCAGGACATTGTAGGAGACCTTTTCTCTATTTGCAGGTGAGAGACAGGATGTGGGCAGGCATGGAGGAGGAGGAAGAGGGGAGAGTGGCAGGGCTGGGGATGTATAGGAGGGCTGGGCCTGGTGAGGGGCTGCGGTGGGTACAGGAGGCCAAGGGTACTAGGAATTGAGGTTGGGCCCAGGAGCAGAAGCAGGGGACATGGGGAGAGCCAGGCAGCTGAAGGTGTAGCTGGACAGCTTTGCATTTAGTCACTGGCACCTATGTCTGGCCAGCAAGGCTCTGGGACCACCAGCCTGGCCTTAGGGGGTGCAGTGCAGGGACAGAGGTTGGCAGCAAAGAAGAGGAAGACAGTAACTTCCAGCTTCCTGAGCAAGGGGCATCTGTGGGAGAAAGTTCTAGAAGAACAAACTCTCCTTGCTGCTGTCCTCCCTCCTGTCTATGCCCCTGCACTGGCCACTTGGCACAGCCCGATGTAGGGCCAGCTCTCCCACATGGTCCCTCTGCCTGCTGCTGAGTTACAGGGATTATTGTGGGAGGCCTTGTGTCCTGTCCTAGCAGCCTGGCCCCCGTGGGGCACCATCACTCACAGCCCCGAGCCTGCCCCAAGGGGCAGAGAGTCTCAGAGCGGAGGCTGGGCAGGACTTGGAGTAAGCCACGGGCACCAGAGTCAGGGAGAGTCTGGCCCCAGAGGACAGCAACAGCTCAAGGCCTCCTTTCTGCCCTGGCATTTCACTGGCCTGCAGAAGATTGTGTGGAGGCTTAGTTCTCTATAAGGTGTGAGCTCCATTTCTCTGGAAGATATGAACCTCTCAAGGGCAGGGCTGAGATGGCTCCCCAGTTGCTGAGGGAAGGAGGCAATGGTCTGAGCCCCTGTTTGTACGAGACTGTAGAATTTCCGTGTCTACACCTCCCCACCTGTGCCGCTTTCAGAAAAGTCCGCTTCTGGCCTGCCACTCTAACCGTGAAGGCCTTTCAGGTTGGCCGTCAGGTGAGGTTACTGAGGCCTGTGCTGTCTGCTCTGTGTTTTCTGGGAATCTAGTGGGGTGGAGACTTCTCGAGCCCTTTCCTTCCCAAGCTGTCATCTGGGAAAGAGGCCGCGGGAGGCTGGGGAGAGAGCAGGAGGCCGCCTGCCTGGGGCTCGTCTCCTGGCCCCTTCCTGGCCTCTGTGCTGCTTTGCTTCTGGGCTGTGCCTTGGGTGGAAAAGCAGGCTGGGCTGTGCTTTGTGCTTCACGCAGTGAATGGTGAACTCTTAGCTTTGTAGGGAGCACTGCTGTCATCAGGGTAGCTTGGTATGTCTCTCATTAATAGATGGGGAAACTGAGCTCAGTACACTTGCCTCGCATCATTAGAAGGTCCAGACTTGGGCCCAGAACTCTGGCCTCTCAAGCCCTTTGCTGCTCATTCTGTTTCTCTGTGTCCTCAGCTGAAGGGCCTGTCCTGTGGACACCAAGTGTTAGGGTCCTGCAGTGTAAGACAATGGAACATTGTAGTGGGTCTGTGTGGACAAAACCTCATATACTAATCTGGCAGCACCTGAAGGGACGGCTCAGAGTAGTGTCAGAGTCCAGGGTGTACCCTGCACCCAGTGCTGTGGCTGGTTAGCTCTGACCCATAGGTCCCTAGGTTCAGGCGGACTTTGTCTCCCCTCTGTTTCCCTGTGTAAGCTCTGCCTGCACTCTTGCTCCCCTCCCTTGTTGGGAGGAATCTGTTGGGTCCTGCTCACTCTGGAGCAACAGGCCTAAGCCAGGTGCTCCAGGGGGCATCGACCTTCAGATCTTATCTCTGCACACCTGGCGGAGTGTGCTTGGGGTGGGCTGAGCTTGGGGTAGCACTGCTGGACTCTGCTGAACTGGTAGTGTCTAGCCTAGGACTTGCCTGAGAGCTGGCATCCGTCCCCATGGAATGTTGCGCTGGCCCCATTTTAGAGGACAGCTATTCTCATTGTTCTGTCAAGCTTTATTTTTTTTTTTAAAAAGCAGTACACTTTTTTTTTTGGTTTTTAAATTATGTGTAAGTTCCTTGCATGAAACAAATAAAATCAGACGTTTTGGTTGAAATGGGATAGCATCTTGAGCCCTAAGGGGCTGCCTCCTGTGATTCTACATGGGCTCCGTATTTAGCAAGCACCGTGGGATATGGGAACACAGAGACCTCCCCCTCAAAGGGGTAGCACAGCACTGCTGCAGTTATACAGTTACCAGTTACACCAGGAAGTGATGTCAGGTGTAAGTAGCTGCTGAGTGGTGCATGTGACAGGTAAGGACTGATGGGATTGCATGAGGGTTGGTGAAGGGGCAGGAGAGGGCAGATGAGAGATGGTGATGATGGCTTCTGAGGTGGTATGTCATGTCCTCATCCCTGCTTCTGGTTAGAGTGGCACTGTAGTCCCAGGATCCAGTCCTTGCTGGAGCATGACCTTGTACAGGGGGACACAGTTGGTGGGATGGCTGGGATGTAACTTGGCACTTGGAGACAAGAGTATTGTAGTCTTGAACAGGATCCTTCTGGGCAGGGTCTGGACCCATTCCTGCTGTACTGATCAGCAGGTCCAGTCTCCACCATTGGCAATGACTCTACTCTTGGCTAGGGTCTCCGTGTGACAGCTGGGACCTTGTTTAGCTGACCAGATGTCTTGGGTGGTTGATTGCCTCTAATGCCACAGTATTATTGATATGTCTGGCCAATAGCAATGATTTAGGCATAATTTCTTGGGCTTCCCAATTGCTATTGGTGGCCAGAACTTCCCCACAAGTACCATGGGAACCAAGCCATTTGAAGCCAGGTTAGAAGCTCCGCATCCCCAGCTGGTTCCCATGGATTTTTATTGGGATGATGCTAATGGTGGACTGCTTTTCATGCACAGACACCCTGTATTTGTGCCAGCCTAGAGAATTCTGGAACCATCATCACACTAACCTGCCTTTCCCATTTGTCATCTCTCTAAAGAAGTCCCAGGTGCTGCACATCTGTTTGGGGTAGGAACGGCCTGACACAAATACCCAATATCTACCTAACAGGCACCAGTGCAGACATTGCTAATCGATCGCAGCTCCCTTTCCCCTTGAGTCCAGATGTGGGCTTATGATCTTTTTCCATAAAGCTCTAGCAACAAAGGCAAATAACAGGAGCTGGCACCCAGATGACATTTCTGATCTGTGGATCCATTCATGTATTCATTCATGCATGCATCTAGTGAAACATTGACTGAGTTTCTATTATAAGCCGAACACTACTCCATGCAAGGAAAAGAAACCTGGTCCCCACCTTTGAGGAGCTCTGAGTGTGTAGACAGACATGGAAGTGGCCTATTCCTGAAACACGTTGTGGACTGGAGTAAGGCCTAGAGCTGTGTTTTCAGGCGCCCAGAGGAGCCAGAGTCTAATTGCTGAGGATTTCAGATGGGGCTGGGCATTTTGTGCTGGGTGGGATGGAGCCAGTACTCTGCTTCATTATGTGCCCTTTGTCATGTTATGTACTCTTTATCATGATGCCAACAGTGAATGCCAAAGCCTTATCTCAGTCGCTGGACAAGGCCTGGCCCAGAAAAGCCCGGAGACCTGGCCTTACTTCTCTCTTTCTCCCACAGGAGCAGGGGCTAAAGGCCAATGACTCCAAAGAGTTAAGCATGTGTTTCACAGAGGTGAGTAGGGGAAAAGCGGGGCGGGGGATGGGTGCAGGAGACAGGCCGGCCCAGAGCCCCAGAGTGGGCTGTTTTCTAGGTGACCCTTGTGCTCCAAGGCCCTGCATCCAGTTGTGCAGGCAGGGCCAGCTGAGCTTCTGGTCCCACCTGGGCCTGAGTAGGCATCACTCTGCAGGGGTGGCTTGGGCAGTACAAAGGGTCCACAGTTAGAATCTGTGGCTGCCTCCCCCACCGAGTAACTGCCTCCCTCAAGGAGTGGCTGCTTTGAGCAGAGGCCCTCTCACTCTTTCCTTATTCTTTCCGAGCTGCTCAGGGCTGGGTCAGTGATATTTACAAAGTACAGAGATGAATAAAGACCCAGCCATTGTGTTGAGGTGTCCATCCACCAAGAAGCCTGTGTGACATACAAATCCATGGTGGTCCTTTGGGTGAGAAGCGCCTGGGTAGAGTTCTGCAAGAGGGAAAGAAGCTCAGGCAGGCACCCTACACATTAGGAAAGGTCCTCTGGGTCCCCAGACTTTCTTTTGGTGTCTTTAAATATTTTCCCTTATCAGTTCCGATGTGCTGCCCACCTCCTGCACCCAAGGGCTCAGAGCCTGGAAGGGGCCACCTATCCCTGTGCTTCTGTCCTGCCCAGCCGCGTGGAAGCCCAGTTCCACTTCTGGGTGCCAGAAAGGTTCCTCTGGATGGCCTGAGAGGTGGGGCTACAGGTGGGATGGTTCCTGACTCCAGCCTTGCTGACAGTATTATTGTTGTTGGTGTTGTTTTCTCTCTGTTTCTGCTTCTGCTGTGGACTCAGCTCACGACAAATATCATCCCAGGGAGCAAAAAGGTGATCAAACCTAACTCAGGCCTCAGCAGAGCCCGACCGACGGCTGCCTTCACCATGCTCCCCCTTCTGATGCTGAAACTGGCCTTGTAAGCGCTGGGAACTGCATCAAGAGATTTCTACAAGCTGCAGAACTCCCGCCTGAGAAAATGGAAAGACACCCAGACACACACAGACACACACAGACACACACAGACACACACACACACACCTTGCAAAAAATTTTTTTCCCACCTTGTCTCTGAACCTGTCTCCTCCCAGGTTTCTGCTCTGGAGAAGTTTTTCTAAACCAAACAAACAAGCAGGCGGGCAGCCTGAGAGCCAGCCCACAGGTCCCCTGGCAAGGGCCACCAAGGGCCGAGGAAGGCACAGACTCTAGAAGTGCCCTTTACTGTCTCTGGTGTTTTTATCTCTGGACCAAGATGAGACCCTTGGTGTGGAGGGGACTGTGCAGTGCTTGATGCAGGCTGAGGACAGGACACCTGCAGCTGCTCTCTCCAGCTGCCCACTCTGAGGACTTGCAGGGTCTGGAAGTGGGCACTGGTCAGTGGAGAAGCAGGGGTCTGACCAGCCATGGGGTTCGGCTGGGCTGGTTGGCCCCCTCCTCCTGGCTTCAAAGATGGAGATGATTTGGCCTCCCTTTCTGCCTTCTGGTGGCTAGGTGGGGCTGTGTCTGGTGTGGGAGCCCCCATGGCCACTCTGGGTCCCCCTGATTAGAGTCCGAGGGGGGCAGGTAGGGCTGGCTCGGGGCAGGGTTGGGGTAGCCTGGGAGACAAGCTCTGGGCTGCATCTTCCTCCCTAATGTCAGGAATTTAAGTCAGAGAGATATGATGCTTTACTGGCTTTCTTGGTTTTATTTTGGGTCCATTTAGTGGGGCTCCCCTTGGGAGAAGGACCACAGAGAGGGGCAGAAGAGACCGTGGCAGGACGAGGGTCACAGCACTGTCTGGTCTCTTGAGCTCAGGCCTCTCCTCTTCCCTCTCCACATTTCCACCTTCTCTTTCCTCACTTCCTGGACACACATCCCCTGTCTGTACATAGCGAGGCTTCTTTCTAACATGGGTGTACATCTGCGTCCGTATACAGATAGCCTGTGGTCTCCTCCTCCTTTCCTTTTTCTAAGAAACGAAACTATCAAAATAATACCCCACAGATGAGCGAAAATGTATTATTGTAAAGTTTATTTTTTTTAATAATGTTGTCTATAATGGAAAAAAAATGGAAATGGACTCCTGGAGCCCCACTGCAGGTGGGCTGAGGGGCTGTGGCCTGGGACTCCTGATCCACGTTCACTTAACCAAGGCTCCAATAAACGTACTAGGAAGCAAGATGCCTTCTGCCTCACTACTGTGTGCCTTCTGCCCAGTGGGCCCAGTGCCACCGTTGGGGGCTACCTGAGGCTCCCACAGGGCCTGGGGAAGTGTGTGTGTGTGTGTGTGTGTGTGTGTGTGTGTGTGTGTGTGTACACGCGCGCACTTGTGTCTCGTTCACAGGTCCCAGTGAGGATGCATGGATGCAGCTCTCAGTGGAGATGGTTTTACACCAGGAGGGTGGGAGGGTCCCAGCCGTGCTGAGTGTGCAGTCCTCTGCCTGTTCTCACTGCTTCACCTTCCTCAGCAGTATCAGAGCCTGTTATTCCTGGACTAAAAAAAAGAGCAGCGAGGGGTGGGGAGGAAGAGAGTGCTTAACCTTGGTCTCCAGGCAGCCTAAGTGGCCCTGTCTCTTTTCTGTACTGTGATGTCTCTCCCAGGACTCTTGATCTGTTTTTTATGTAGTTGTGAGGACAGGCACCTGGCCTCTTGGTTCCAGAGAAGGAGGTGACTGTTTGGTGGTCAGGCTTCCCTTCCACTCTTTCCATCCTTTTTTCTCCATTGGCCACCTGCTTGGACACTGGGTTGGCCGTGATCTCCAGGAGGGGTTCTTCTAGAGAGCACCAGGATGACGCCCACTGGTGGCAACTGTGTGCACGTGTGTCTGTATGTGTGCACATGTATGCAGCTGTGCATGTGTCCATGTGCACACACTCGTGTGCAGGCAGCAGGAGGGAAGAGGGTGGGCTGGCTTATGCTTCCAGGGCCACATGTGATCCCGTTCTGTCACCATCAAGTGATGGGATGCCATTTCCCATCCTTCTGATCCTGGACCCGCTCCGATGGCTCTTGTTTCTGGTGGCCCATGTGCTAGTGGCATTTGTCACAGTGGGGACACTGTGCTGTGTGGTGCCAGCCTCTGCCTGGAGGTAGGACAGTGAGCCAGCCAGTTCTCTTTTCTGCCACTGATGGCCTTCCTGTGGATAGACGTGGTCTGATGTCACCTGGAGTCTATGTTCTTTGCAAATGGCTGGGACTTGTTGGCTCAGACAGTAACTCACAGCAGGGGTATGTGGAGAGGTGTCTCATAGCATTGTGGGGTAGGACCAGGGGACTGGGACCAGAAGACAACTGAAGGCAGTGATCTCCCAGAGGGGCTCTCCCCAGAGAGCACCAGGGGGACACCCACTGGTGGAAACTGTGTGCATGTGTGTCTGTCTGTGTGCACACGTATGCAGCTGTGCATGTGTCCATGTGCACACACTCGTGTGTGCAGCCAACAGGAGGGAGAAGGATAGACTGACCTATGTCCACTCACCTGCTGCTGCTTCATGATGGATGGCCACCAACTGATTGAAGAGGTACTTGTTCCTTCCCCGTCTATCCTTGGGTGGAAGAAGGACATGTCACAACTTGTATTCCCAATAGGAAGCAAGCCCTTGGGCAGCATAATGTCTCACAAGGAATTCAAGGGGATGCTATGAAGGAGAAGTGGGTACAAAGCATTTTTACTCTGCCTTCAGATGTCTGCCCACCCATTAGCCCTTGGCAATGTTCATTCCTTTGGTTGGGATGATTCTTGTTTTCTGTGTTTCTTTCAAGATGCCCAAGAAGCCGGGCAGAGTAAGGGAGGTCATTATCTTTATGCCGATTTATTGAGTGAGTGCCTTGCTGACAGTAGGATATTTGGGTCAATGTTGAGATTAGGGTTAGGGGAATAGATGAGGGCAAATAAATAGGAGAGGGATCAGGAGCAGGTTGGTGAGAGATTTTGGGGTACTTTGGGTAAAGTGTGGCCACAGGCAGTGGAGGCCCCTTGTGTGCTCACCTCAGAGTGGGCAAAGGGTATAAAGTTAGCATCCTTTGCACTGGCCCTGGGCACTGCTGCCCTTCATGTGCATCTGGCTGTGAGGCTGTCTGTTCTTGGCTGTAGAACCAGGGGAGATCTGGACCCATGTGGGTACTCTGCTGCCCTCGTTGGGGAAGCTTCCAGCATGGGCCTTTATGCTCAGCCGAGAACCCAGATACCCACTTTCTACCTGACTCTGGCCTCTGCCTTCCTTGCAGTGATTCTCCCATCCACTGCAACAGCCCAGCTGAGACCTGCACTGGGAACCCACTTGGGAGCTCAGGTTTCTGGACATCAAGTGAGAAGAGCTGCTGGTTCCACATAGAAAGTGGTTGTCCTCATAGCCAGGCCCATGTCTTGTATTGAGATTGGTCACAGAGGTGTCATCTAAGTCCCTGGTAGTCCAGGTATTGCCTGTGTAATGCGTGGCAACATCACTTTCCAGAACTGCTCTTTCTGGCCTTTTCAGGAAACAAGTCCCATGGGGGATGCTCAGGCCCATGGTAGGCCCTGCTGTCCCCAGCAGACCCTCCTAGTGCCAGGCAGCTCTGGGTCTTTCAGGATGGCCTCCCATCATGACTCAGTGGTACACTGGGATGCTCACTGCTGCAGGCTGTCCTGGGCTGGGCCTGCAGGGTCTGCTGGTCCACCTGCAGACACTGCCAAAGGGTCCTATATGTGTCTCTCTGGCTTCTAGCTATGGACAGCCAATTGCTTGTGTAAGACATAGACTTGCCTTTATTTATAGAAGACCAAAGCTTCAGTGTTGCTGCTGGCCTGAGAAATCCTTTGCCAGAATTTTCTGATCTGTGAAGAGTTTTCATCAGACAACCCCTGCCAAGTGGGTTAGGATGCCAGGGAACAAAACCAGTCCCCTGCTCCATGTTGATACCAGGGTGTGTACTCATAGTCCATTGCCCGTACTTCAGAGGGTCTACATGGGTCTAGGTATTTATCTCTTTAAAATGGATGAAATTCTCCAGAAAAGCCAAAGTAAATTGGAACCAAAACTGGTAAACGGAGTGGGTGACATTCTTTGGGGGTGAGTCTAAGTTGTAGAAAGACTGGCTTCTGGTCATTGATGGGAAATCTCATCACCTTGTTCAATCTCATCTTGCCTATAAAGTTAGATGACAACTAAAGTCCTTCTCAATGCTCAACAAGCTCTGGAAGAGAGGAATAAAAAACGCAAAGATGGACAGAGGTGGACCCTGAGGCAGACCTGAACAGTCCGCGTGGTTTTCCTGCCCAGTGGGTCCACTGGCCCTGTGGTGTCTCCTCCAGCGCTTTGGACAACAGAGTGCGCCCAGTTGCTGGGTGACTGCCAGATGCATTTTTAAAAACTCAGCCATGCTCTCCCTCAATGTGGAAACAAGTGGAGTGCATGGAAATGGTTGTGAAATCTCTGCATAGTGGATGTTTACAAAATCAAAACTGTAGGGCATCGACCTTTATTTGCCATGTCCCACTCTTAGTGTGAAGCAGGTATTTCTGCTGCCACCTTCCTGGGAGAAAAACGGGATAAAGTATTTTGGAAGAACTTTGATAGTAAAGTAAAAATAAAAACAAATTCAGATGTAGATCCCGAAAATTAACATCTCCTGTTTGCATAGCCCTTACCACAAGCCTGATGCTGTTCTAAAATTGTACGAATGTTAATTCATTGAATTTGCGCTGCAACCCAGAGAGGTCAGTGTCATAACCCTGTTCTGCCAAGCACACTGAAGCCCAGCAGAGTTCCTGCCTTGACGGAAGGTACAGAGGGGAATTGGCAGTGCTCAGACTCAAACTCAGGCAGCCGGCTCAAGGTCCAGCTTGCATTGGCACCCGAAACTGAACTGCACGTGTCCCCTGCTGGTGCCACTGTGGGCAGCTTCAACTAATCTGGGCTTACTGTGGTGTCTCCATTCCTCTCCAGCACCCTCACCACTTGGCACCTGCAGGGTCAAAGGTAGCGGAGCATCAGCAGATGCAGGGCTGGCTGTACCTGTGGGAACCCATGGGAGAATGGGGAAAGAGTTTATAAACAGCTCCATAAAGGAACAGTGTGGATGTGGAGGAAGGGAGGAGAGGAAGCAAGGGCCTCCCTGACGAAATGGGCCCCCCCCTCAAGGCCTTTCTGGTTGGGTAGGGGAGGATAGATGTGGGTATTCCACTGTAGTTTTGTTATTTGGTTTTGCTGGGATTGATGAAGACCTTGATGGGACATGGCTTTGCTTGGAAGAAGGTTCTCCAGAAAAGAGCCTGACCAGCTGGGATCCTCTGGATCACTTGATCTTTGACTGTTCTTGTCCGATGGTTAAGAGGAGAAAGGCTAAATTCAGGGATCGAGAAGATTTGGTTGGAATTCCGTACCTGCCACTGACCTTTGGGAAATTATGTCTATTCTGAGCTTCAGTTTTCTCATCTGTAAACTGGTGATGTCATCCAGCCTCATGGGCATGCTGTTGAGATGACGTTGTCCTGCCAGTTCCTGGCACGCGGTGCGCTCTCAACCAGGTATGCCCTTGCCCAGTGGGTCCATTTCGCCAGTCCTCCATGAACCCTCAGTACCTGCTCAATGGGCCTAGCTCTTCCTCTTGGGTTCAATTTTTGGAGCCTCTCTGTGTCTCCTTCTTTCTGTGTCCAAAGAAGCTATGGAGTCTCTGGGGCTGACAAGTGAGTGTGACTGTCATCAGGGGCCAGAGCTGCAGAACATCCAAATATCACGCTCTCTCAAGCCCCTTTGATTGCCTGCTTCTTTCTGTGCATGAAGGCCGAGGGGGTGCTGCTGGACCAGGCACACAGCTCCAAACTGAGAGCAGGAAGTGTCAACTCGTGGAACTGAGCTCAGGAGATTGGGAGCGAGGTTTGTGTGGTCCTTGCTCAGGGTCAAGGAAGAGCAGAGCAGGCTCTGCTACCTGGGTGGGCCCTTGGCTCCCAAAGTCACTTAATAATATTTTCTGGCCACATCTCTGTGTCATCCATGTGCTGCTTCTTACAGAGTTTGGGAATAAGGTGAGAATCATTTTCTTTCCTGCAGGAATTGGGCCAGACAGGCAACACAGTGGTGAGGTGACCTCTGCCATGTCAGTTGTAACTATTAACTGCCACGACAGCTCAAAAGCTGTCCCAGGAAATATGCCAGTGACTGGGCCCCTCTATGTGCCAGTAAAACTTTATTTGCAGA